AATAGAATAGAACAGAAGACAAGAATAGAACAGAAGAATAGAACAGAAGACAAGAATAGAACAGAAGAATAGAACAGAAGACAAGAATAGAACAGAAGAATAGAACAGAAGACAAGAATAGAACAGAACAGAAGAATAGAACAGAAGAGAAGAATAGAACAGAACAGAAGAATAGAACAGAACAGAAGAATAGAATAGAACAGAAAGGAACAGAAGAATAGAATAGAACAGAAGACAAGAACAGAAGACTAGAATAGAACAGAAGAATAGAATAGAACAGAACAGTAGAACAGAACAGTAGAATAGAACAGAAAAGAACAGAAGAATAGAATAGAACAGAAGAGAAGAACAGAACAGAAGAGAAGAAGAGAACAGAACAGAAGAATAGAACAGAACAGAAGGCTAGAATAGAACAGAAAAGAACAGAAGAATAGAATAGAACAGAAGAATAGAACAGAAAAGAACAGAAGAATTGAATAGAACAGAACAGAACACAAGAATAGAACCAAAGAAGAGAATTCTTTATTGGTCAAGAGTGATTGGACATACAAGGAATTTGTCTTTGGTGCCTACGCTCTCAGTGTCCAGAAGGAGAATAAAATACATTCATCATGAATAAAAAGTGACACTTTTTATTACACTTAGTGATAGTCAAAGCTTCTAATAAGCTACCAAATTATACTAGTAAACAAATAAAACAATATAGAATAGAAGTAGAACAGAAGAGAAACAGAACAGAATAAAATAGAATACTTTATTGGCCAAGTGTGACTGAACACACAAGGAATTTGTCTTCGGTGCATAGACTCTCGGTGTACATAAAAAGAAAAGATACATTCGTCAAGGATCATGAGGTGCAACAGTTAATGATAGTCATAGGGTACAAATAAGCAATCAAATCATACTCAGAATCAATAGAAACCATAAGGATACGAGCAGCAAAGATAAGAGGCGCCTGCAGGCCAAGGCTGGGAAAAGGAGGGAGAAGATCTTCCCTTGAAGCAGCAGCTGGTGCTTCCTGTGGGGGAGGGTCGAGCTGCCCGGGAGCCCTTCTCCCCCCGCCTGCTCCCCCAGGACTTGAGAAGCCCTGCCCAGACGAGGTGGCAGCCCAGCGGAGCTCATGCCACCCTGGAACCAAACCGCCCAGGGGAGGCCTCTCTGTGTTCCAACCTCTACAAGATTGGGACGATTTCCCCTTGGAGGCTGGCGAGAGTTGAGGGAGCCCCCGTGGCACCCCTGAGGAGGACCCACCTGTAGCCTGGTGGCTTGGCTTGTTCCTGTAGGGCAGGGGTTCCCAAACTTGGCAACTTTAAGACTTGTGGACTTCAACTCCCAGAATTCTCCAGCCAATTCTGGGAGTTGAAGTCCACAAGTCTTAAAGTTCCCAAGCTAGGCTGGCTGGAGAATTCTGGGAGTTGAAGTCCCCAAGCATTAAAGTTCCCGAGCTATGCTGGCTGGGGAATTCTGGGAGTTGAAGTCCACAAGTCTTAAAGTTCCCAAGCTAGGCTGGCTGGAGAATTCTGGGAGTTGAAGTCCCCAAGCATTAAAGTTCCTGAGTTATGCTGGCTGGGGAATTCTGGGAGTTGAAGTCCACAATTCTTAAAGTTCCTGAGTTATGCTGGCTGGAGAATTCTGGGAGTTGAAGTCCACAAGTCTTAAAGTTCCTGAGTTATGCTGGCCGGAGAATTCTGGGAGTTGAAGTCCACAAGTCTTAAAGTTGCCAAGTTTGGGAACCACTGACCTAGGCGAATGCCATGTGGAGCCCCCCATTTTTTAAATATATATTTA